GCAGGAAGCATGGCAGCGTGCAGGCAGACATGGTGCTGGAGGAGCTGAGAGTCCTACATCCGGATCAGCAGGCAGCAGGAAGAGAGAGTGACACTGGGCCTGGCTTGTAATACTTTTTCTACACTGAAATGAGCCAGTTCAAGTCAGATTAAAGCATAAACCCAGCTCTTGGCCGGGTTCATCATTGGTCCCAAGGACCGTGGCCAAGGAAGCCACCGTGGGGAGGGAGACAGAGAGGAAGCAGAAGAGAAGGAGAGAAAGAACATTTGTGAAGGGAGAGAGAGAGGAAGTACAGAGAGAAGGATGGAACCAAAATAGCTGGATTATATAGGGAGGCCCCACTCCTGGGCTGGAAAATTCAGGGTAGAGGGTTGTTTGCCAGCCATGTCCTCTAACAGGTAGGGACTGAGGGATGCTGGGAGAACCTGGAGGCCAGGTCCAATTTAGTGTGTTAAATATGCACCTCAGGTGCTTGTCCGGGGTCTGAAACCCAAAAACTTGAGCATCTGCAACCTCAAAGCCCACCTCCAATGACACACTTCCTCCAACAAGGCCACTCCTCTTAATCCTTCTAATTCTTCTCAGTTTACCATCTGGGGGACTAAGCAAGCAAATATATAAGCCTATGGAGCCATTATCATCCAAACTACCACATTTCACTCACTGGCCCCCATAAGCTTATAGCCATATCATAAATGGAAAATATACTTATTCCAATTTCAAAAGTCACCATACTCTTTTACAGTCTCAACACTGTTTAAAAGCCCAAAGTCTCTTCTGTGATCTCTTAATTGCAACCCCTTGTAAAATCAAAATTAAAAAGCAGACCACATACTTCCAACATACAATGGCACAAAATATACCTTACCATTCCAAAAGAGAAGAAATGGAACATAGTAAGGAAATATTAGGCCAAAGCAAGACCAAAATCCAGCAGGGCACACTCCAGATTCTGCATTTCCATGTCTGATGTCAAAGTGCTCTTCAAGACTCCAACTCTTTCCAACATTTTTCTTTACTGCAATCTCTCTCTCTCTCTCTCTCTCTCTTTCTCTGGCTAGTTCAACAACCATTCTGCAGCTGTCATCTTCCCCACCCCACCCCCCAATAAACACAGCTCTGGCAACTCCATCTTGGGGTCTCCAACACAATCTAAGCTTTACCTTCACAGCTTCATTCACTGGCCTCTCCAGGCCTTTGTGGGGAGACTGACTTGCCAAACTCCTGGTGGCCTCAGCTGCTTTCCTTAACCATGGGAAGGATTCTATAATCCCTTTCCTATATCCTTCTTGGTAAAACCAGAATCTTGTGGTTGAAGCTGCCAAGTTCTTCTGCTTGCTGGGGCTGGAACCTGGGCCTCTCCCTGGTTCATTTACATAAGCTTTCTGTTGTTGTTGATTTCCTTTGCTGCTTAAGCTTTCCTTTAACTCCTTTTCATAAATTGGAAGCTTAGCTGGGTGGGGTCTTGTCCTGAGGTCAGCACTTCCTTTATCCCATTTAGCATTAGACTTTTAAACATTTTATCTGCTCAAGCACATGACTTGGCTCCCTCACTTTTAGGGTTTGTTGTTGTTTGTTTGTTTGTTTGTTTTTAGGATACGGTCTCACTATACAGACTTGGCTGTCCTGGAACTCACTAAGTAGACCCTCAAACTCACAGAGATCTGCCTGCCTCTTGCCTCCTGAGCCACCATGCCTGGACTGTTTTGTTTTGTTTTTGTCTTTTTGAGACAGTGCCTCACTATTCCTTGTGTTCTCTTTTTCCTTAAACTGTACATTTTGTATTTCTTTTTGCCCCAATGGCTCTTTTTCATTGTAGATCTGTACAAGAGTGATCACTAATAACCAACCACATGACACACTGAACACTAGGCTGTCTTGAAATCTCTGCCAAAGCTGTTAATCCCAAACTCTTCAAATTTTCCCTGGGCAGGTTTTTAGGACAAGAGCAAAAAGCAGCCATAGTCTTTATGGTCTTTAGGCCAGCCAATAATATTCCTACCCTCTGAAACCTCTTGAGCTGGTCTCTCACAATCCATATGTCTCTGAGCATAACTGTCTTCCATGTTCCTGCTAGGATGTTCCACTAAGCAACTCTTAAAGGATCCAACCACTCTTCTAATCTAAAGTCCCAAAGTCTTCTGTATTCTTCCAAATAACACCATGGTGGGGCCTGTCACAGCAATACTCCACTTCTGGTCCATCTTCTGTCTTGCTTACTTTCTGTTGCTATGAAGAGACACTATGACCAAGGCAACTCTTATAAAAGGGAATACTTAATTAGGGGCTTGCTTACAGTTTCAGAAAATTAGTCCATTACCATCATGGCAGGAAAAAGACAGGCATGGCACTAGATAAGTAGCTGAGAACTTTACATCCTGATCCACAGGCAGCAGGAAAAGAGAGTGATACTGAGCCTGGCATGGGCTTTTAAAACCTCAAGGCCCACCCCCAGTGGCACACTTCCTCCAACAAGGCCACACCTTCTAATCCTTCTAATCCTTCTCAAACAGTTCACTAACTAGAGACTAAGCATGCAAGTGTATGTGCTGATGGATGGAGCCATTATCGTTCAAACCGCTGCACTACCCAAATGTGAACTAAACACCAGTGTACATGCCAAACTGGATGGAGAAAAGGCCATGAAGTCTCAACCTTACACAAAGAACTATAGGCAACTGGGAAGCAGAGAGGTGGCCTTCCCCAAGGAAGACCATACAAATTGGCTGTCCACTGCCAAACAGTCAGCCCTGAAAACTTAACTACAGGTAACATCGTATAGACTGAACAGATTATATTTATGAATATATATGTATACACATATACATACATGCATGTGATAACAATTATTTTTTAAAAAGCAATGAATTTTGAAAGAGCAGGGAGGGGTATATGTGGGAGAGTTTAAAGGAAGAAAGGAAAGAGAGAAATGATGTAACCAGTTATAATCTCAAAAATGAAAAAAAGGGCCAGGCTATGGTGGTACACACCTTTAATCCCAGCACTTGGGAGGCGGAGCAAGTGGATCTCTGTGAGTTCAAAGCCAGGCTGGTCTATGGAGTGAGCTCCAGAACAGCCAGGACTACACAGAGAAACCTTGACTCAAAAACAAACAATAAAATAAAATAATAAATTAATAAGTAATAAAAAGAAAAAATATAAGGACTTGTAAAGTCATGTCATTAAATAATATGTATATCAGTCTTAAGAAATTAAGAAATTTGAGAAATAATTTACAAAATTGTATTCAAACATGGAACCCTGTCTTAAAAGGAAAAACCTCACATACATATACCTACATGCATATCCACAAAAAAAAAAAAAAAAACCCACCAAAGAAACATATACTAAAATATACCAGGAATGGTATATTTTATACCATTTTATACCTGCTGAGTGATCCTTCCTACCCTTCACTAATTTGCAAGTAGAATGAAATGATTTTAAGCTACACACTCTTTTCATACTTCCTTTTAAAAAGTACACTATGCATTTGGGGACAAGTTATTAACAGAAAAAAAAGTCAAAGGAACAGATACACTGGCATGAAACTTGAGCATCACTGAGCAATAACTGGAGGTCTCTGGGAGGAGCACATGGGTACCTATATTTGCTAGATGAATAGTCAAAGGGAAAAAAGGAGGAAGAAAGGGAAGAAAGAGATACAGCATCTGAGGGTTGATCATCAAATAATTTCATTTGGCCTTTTGTGAGGAAAGGAAGCCATGCCTAAAAGTTTCCCCTTTTCTTAGAAAGCAAGAATTGGGTGGCTGAAAACAGTATAAATTTTCTCTCTTATAATTCAGGAGGCCAAAGTTCTGAAGACAGGTCTTTTTTTTTTGGGGGGGGGGCACAAGTGTTGATACATGCATTCTTTCTAGATGTTCTGGGGTAGGATCCATACCTTCCAGGTTCAGGGCCACCTGCATTCCTTGGCTCACGCCCCCTTCAGCAATGCTTCTGCTGTCACAGCTCCTTCTCAGATTCTGACCTCCCGCTCTCTTGATTATACTGTGTCTCCCAGATAGTCCAGGATCATCTCTTCCCCAGCAACACCATTTTGGCCATACAAAGTGGTGTTGTATTCATGGGTTCTGAGCTTTAAGGTGGGTCATCAACCAACTCACTGTTGAAGGAAACTGGGATATTTGATTCTTCTACCCCCTCACCAAGTCTTTCATCAGTCCTGCAGAATGCATGCCAGATTTCTCTGATGGTGGAAGATGCCAAGCCTTGGTGCACTTTGAGATTCTGCCCCATGTCAATGAGCTGGGATCAAACCCAGGTTTCTGAAGCCGAGCCAAAGCCTGCCTGCCTGGTTGCCTTGCCTCCTTTCTCCTCTCCCTTCCACTGCACTTCCTCTTTCCTGTCAAGACGTGTTCCCTGGCTCCCTGAGCGAGCTTTAGCTGCTGTTTCCTAACTTGTCATGGGCCTCTAATGACAATATGACCATAGCTTGGTCTTGGAGATTCCTTTCCTTGAAAGATGAGTGGCAGCCCTTGAGAATCTCCGTCAAGGCCCTTTCTTTTCCCAGTTCAACAGACATGTTTGGGGCCTGTTGTTCTAGGCGGAAAAGTACAGAAAAGACAGACGTAAATAAAATTACAGGACAGTCTTAAACTATGCATGCTATCTGAGACAGATGGGAAAATCAGACTGATTAGGAAGTTCCAAATCCTAGAACCCAGGTGTGAGTTTCTTTATCCCTTGGTTAATAATCTAAACTCCAGGAAAGAATCAACGGCAAGGCAATAAATAATCTGAATTATTAATCTTTGTTTCCCTATACTTTTCATGTAATTGTGCTACAGTTGGGGACTGAGTGAAGAGAAGCTAACAGATAGAAGCAAGCAGTGTCGAAAACAAGGGGTTAATCTTTATTGCTTTCATTTTGTGAGCCTCTGTCCTACCTAGTAACTGATGATGCTGGATTTCTTCCCCGTTCTTATTGGAGAATGCTTTCAGTATTGCTCGGCTAACAAATTTCCTGGGAGAGCCGGTAGAGTACAGATTCTCAAAAGATTCATCAGGGGCCTGTCACTGTCTGAGGTAGGAGGAACCTGGAAGGAAGAGGACTTCAATGACGATGCTCTTGTTACCTCTCCTCGTGGTATTCTTGGTGAATCACAGCCAGGCCCGTAAGTATCCCAAGCACTCTTTACTCCTAAATCCAAAGCTGAAGCATAACACCTTTGCTTCCTAAACTTGTGGTGCTAACTGTGAAAAAAGTAAGGGACAAATCTATGAGCCCATTCCACCCAAGGCTTGAAGGGATGATGGACCAAATGACCTGCTGCCCAGATGTGTGTGTGTGTGTGCAGATGTCAGCCTTTCTAGAAGGACTTCCTCGGTAATGCACTCACTTCCCCTCTGATGGCTGCTTCCGTACTTCCCTTTCTTCCTTCTGTTTCTCCTCTTCCCTAACAGCGAATCTTATAGGACTTCAGAGAGAGTTTCAGGGATGTTGAACAGTCCAGGGGGTCCATTGTTCAGGTCAATAGATATTTTCCCTCCTCTCCACAAGGACTACCTGCAACAAAAGATCCAAGAAAGATAAAGCGATGGCGCTGAGCTTGTTTACCAGGCGTAGAAAATATTCGTTGCTTAAAAAAGTTCTGGGGTGGAGAGACGGCTCAGCGGCTAAGAGCACTGGCTGTTCTTCCAGAGGACACGGGTTCAATTCCTAGCACCCACATGGCGCCTCACAACTGTCTGTAACTCCAGTTTTAGGGGATCCAACATCTTCACATGGACACATGTGCAAGCAAAATACCAATGTGCATAAAAATTAATAAAAATTGAAATAAACAAACATACAAAAAACCTTAGTGGTTCATTGTAGTTTAGGGAGATTGTGTCTCTAGGAAATCAGGAGCCTTGTGTTGCCACCAACACAAGAGAGTCTGCGTGCAGCAGAAGGTGCTAGTCTTCTCTGCCCTAACCAACTGCTTTCTAGCTGGTGCTGGCATTTCTAAAGGTTCATAGGAGAAATCCAGACCTCAGACCAAATTACCTAAGCTGCTGGTTGATGCATGCCAGGAAGGTGCGCTTTCAAATCATCTGTGTATTTCATTTTACAAGTAAGTATTGATTGATAACTTACTATGTGTCAGATGATTGGAGGAATATAACAGCTGAATGAGGTGAGGCATACTGACAATCCAAGCTACTCTAGAGCTTTGGGGGAGAGGGGAATGGTGAGTTTGAGGCCAGTTGAGTGGCATAATGAGACCCAACCTGACCCCCCCACCCCTCAAAAAAGAAGTTTTCTGCAATATAGGTTGTTATCTTTTTTTTTTATTTTTATTAACTTTATTCACTTTTTATCCCCCCATAAGCCCCTCCCTCCTCCCCTCCCGATCCCACACTCCCACCCCCTTCTTCACACATGCCCCTCCCCAAGTCCACTGATAGGGGAGGGTTGTTTTCTTTTTTTTCTGAAAATGTCTCTTCTTTATAGTTTTAGCTTCCACTGGGCTTTGTTAACTCTCATTTGTTGTCTGTTTCCTCCCAATCTTAGGGGTGAAAGTGATTTTTTAAATAGTTGCTTTATTATGGTCTCTTCATGGGAACTGTTTGGTAAAGGCTGTTTCCTCCCGTGACTCTCGCTTAAGTGAGCTTTGAAGACAAATGACAGACAAGGAATTTCATATTATGGAAAATAATGTAAGGTCTGCTTGGTATTTGTGCCCAATGTTACCCATAAATAGACACTTTTACACCATAGATGGATAGAGGACCTGGGGAAGAGAAACAGTGTGTTTGGGACATAACTTTAGGAAATGTTAAGATAACTCACATGTTACTTCCAGCGTGTTGCTCTCTTCAGCTGCATAGCCCACAGATGATCGCTCCTGCTCCTTCCTGTGTGTCCTCATGGCTCCTGTTCATGGTTCTCTAATTCTCTTTTCCCCAAATCTTCCCTGAGCTGCTCTTTTTACAGGTGGGGAGAGACAGCTCCATTTTTCTCTTGTTTCTATTACCCTACCTAGTTCCCAACAGGGACTTAAACGCCTCCTGAAAGATCTTATGTTTCAAAGTAATGTTCCTGAGGCATGGAAATCACCTGGCTATGAGTTATAGCAAGCTTGGACAATGATAATGAATTCCAATTTAAAACTATGGTCCACTGTGGTTGCAGAATTGATGTAAAAATAGTGTTTTTGTGCTTTTTTTTTTTTTTTTTACCCTTCTCCTTGCTCTTCTTTTCTGCTGGTGTGCAGCTGAACTATGTGGAGCTGTAATCAAACTGGGGACGTGCATGAGATTTCCCTCGCATAGCTACATGCAGTTAGGGTGTTTCATGTTGATACAATCAATTAGTCTCTTGATGTTATTCATGATTTAGCAAAGGTGTTAGCCCACTACATCAATCTACTTTATGAATGATGCTTCCGAGACAAGGACTGAACATGTTAAGCAGGTTGTGCTGGTGTTAAAAGATAAACTTGTAGATTATCTGCTTAGAAATAACCTTGAGTTCAAAAAGTTAACATGAAAAAATACGGGCATTTGCTAAAAGCCTTACTAGATTTCAGTCTGTTTCCATGGAGCTCTTGCCCAGGTTCAAGCAGGAAAAATTTCTCCAAGACAAATATTTCACTCCTTTTTCTTCATGGTTGACGCTAAATGTATATAAATCTGATAAACAGATTCTTCTTTTAAGTTGGCAGAACAGCTGTCTATTCTTGCTTGACCATAATCCTCTTACCATAGAAGACTGCTAAAAATTGGAGGGAGGAAGTTTAGATTAAAGGTCAAACACATAACTCTAAATGCTTTTATTTTATGGAGCTCAAATTGAGACAGATGACTAGGGACATTATTTCTGACATCTAAGTTTATATTAGAGAAAAATCTTTTAAGAATATATGTGTTGCTGCTCACCCCTGTAATCTCAGCACTCGGAGAAGCAGAGGCAGACAGATCTCGGTGAGTTCGAGGCCAGCCTGATCTACAAAGTAGTCCAGGACAGCCAAGGCTACACAGAGAAACCCGGTCTTGAAAAACCAACCAACCAAACAAACAAAAGAATATGTGTGTCAAATCACATTTTAACACAATTTAAATGAAGCATTTAAGAATAAGATTCACTGGACACACACTTTTAACCCCAGCATTTGGTAGACAGGGACAGGAAGACCTCTGTGAGTTCAAGAGCAGCCCTGTCTGCAGAGTGAGTTCCAGGACAGCTAGAGCTACACACAGAAACCCTGCCTCAACAAAACAACAACAACAACAAAATAATAAGATTCATAAAATGGAGATTCTCTGGAGAAATAGGAGGCATGTGGTCATTATTGTGCTCAGGGTGTAAGCAGTGGGGAAAAAGCACCTCAGATCCCTCTTTCACTCACTCTCCAGAGCACCACAGTGGTCTCCTTGATGTTGCTCCAGTATGCAAAGCATTTACCCCCAAGAATTGGGGGGGGTTATTTGAGCTTAATTATTTGGAAGGGTCTCCACCCATGGCCCCCTTTTTCACTCTAGACACAACCCTATCCAATGGTATCTGGTCAGAGAAGGCTTTTCTGGTCCCTTTAATGGGTTAGCCCTCTCCACATCATCTCCTTTCTCTGCTTTAGTTTTCTTTATACAATAGATTGCCACATAAGCTTGTACTATACACTTGTCAATTGGTAATATCCCTTCTAGAAATCATCTCAGAGGTCTGGGCTTTCGATTCGATTTGTTCGTTACTGTGGCCCTAGCACCTAGAACCGTGTTCACTGGAAATTCAGAAAAGAATAATACTTACATGACATGAGATATTGGCACCCTTTGAAAGGGAGGCCGTGAATGAATACCTGTCATGGTTTCAACAGTAAATGTTCCTCACAGATTTATGTGTTTGAACACTTGGTTTCAGATGGTGGCGCTGTTGTGATATTGTAGAGCTTTTGGGCATAGGACTTAGCTTGCAGACTTAAGGCTCTAGGGGCGGAGGTTGAGAGGTATAGGTTGACCCTACTTCTATTCCAAGCTCGATACTTCCTGACTGTAACATGAGGATAGTGAGCTACAAGGTATTCCTTCTGACCCCCACTAAGCTAGTCCCAGCTCCCATGCCTACACCACCGTAATGGATCATATCCCTTTAAACCATTAGGAAAATAAATCCTTCCTGCCTTAAGCTCTTTCTGTCAATCAATCAAGCATTGTGTCACAGCAGTGAGAAAAGTAACTCATACAGAAAATTGGTACCAAGGGTGTGGTCATTGCAATGATAAACTTGACTGTTTGTAGTTTGTAGGACTTCAGAAGTGTAAGAGCAATATGAAGAGTTTTGGCGTTGTGGGCTAGCAAAACCTTAGAAGGCTATAACTAGAGCTTCGTGGGATATCCTGGCAGGAGTGTGGACAACCAGATGCCGATATAAATTTCAGAAGGCAACAAGGACTTAGCAGGAATTGGACCAGAAGCCATATGTGTTACATTCTAGAAAAACAAAAACAAAAAAACATTCTGCATTCTTCCTGTGTCGTGAAAGCCAAAATGAGGCTGAATTAAACTGATTTGGTGAAGAAAATTTCTAGTCAGCACAGACTTCAGACTATAGAGGTTACTGTCCCTGCTTTTTAAGCCATATTACAGTGATAAAAAACAGAAAGCAGAGAAGAAATCCTTGAGAAGGGTGTAGTTTGGCAAGGGCAGGAATGTGAGTACAGTTGTGGTCAAAGCAACTGTGGGAAAAACTGTGATAATGATATTAGGATTAATACACTGTAGAATTACACTGCATAATGATATTAGTACAAATTAAAGAAAAATCCCACATCTCTGCAGGTTCAAGATTTTGGACTTCTGATCAGTGTTGGAACTCTTAGGGTCTTAGGGACTTTTACGGATATAAAATGCATCTTGCATGATGAGATGGCCATAGGCCTCCAGGGCCAGGGTGGGATGCTGTGCTCTGAATGTGAAATTCACCCCCAGGCTTGTATACTTAAACTCTCGGTGCTCGCTTGGTGGCATCTCTTTAGAAGTTGTGTAGTTTATGGACGTGGAGCCTAGATGACAGTTGTAGGGCCTTAAGCATAAGGCTCAAAGGTAATTACGGTTCGGCACACTTCTTGCCCGAGCCCTCTGCTTTCTGACCTGTGGATCTGTGAGCAAACAATGCCACAAGCTCTGGCAAGCCCAGATTAGACTGACTCCAGCCACCTTTTCTTCCATTATGGACTGTACCCCTTCGTACCATGTGCCGAAATAAATCCCTCCTCCCTTATGTTTTCATCACATGTTTTTCCATAGGGACAAGAAAAGTAATTAATACAGTGGCTGAGAAGTCCGAGTGTCGCATGTGTCTCCTCTAGACTCACCGTAAGATCCTGTCACTTGACAGTTGTGAGGAGGATGTCTAATGGTTCCTGCTGCCTACAAAACCATCAACACCACTGCACACTTTTGAGAAGTGTCCAAAGGTTCCTTTAACTAAAAATACAACCGTTTACTTCTCTCCTCAAATTCCCACAATACCAGGAATCCCAAAGAGCAGTTATCAGAAGTCACAATCACTTTTACCTTACTAAGGCACTGAGTTACTTGAATAGGGCAACTATAAAGCGGTCATTGTTGACATGATTATCCAATCAGAACCTACTACCTCCTGAGCAAGATCCGGAGCATGGGCCTTAGGGCCTGGAAAAATCAGACTGAAACATGTTTGGCACAAGGGGGCAGGAGAGAGCACTTTAATCCAGGCTCTGGGAGTTGTAACATCCTGTATTGGAGCAGTGCCTCTCTCAAGCCGAGTTGGGTAGTCAGAGGTAGAAAAACTTCCTTATGAGAGTTCAGATTTCGATTCCCCAGTTCCTTCATCGTGCCATCTAAGGTTGCACTTAATTTAATTTAGTTAATTGTGAGCACTTTTCATCTGCAGAATGGGAATTATCGGACCTACCCTGAAGGGCTATTGTGGGAGCTAGGGAGGTAGCCCAATAGATAGAGTACTCATCTAGCTTGTACAAAGTCCTAGGCTCAATCCCCAGTGCCACCAGAACCAGATTTGGTGACACATGAGGCAGGGGAATCAGAAGTTCAAGGTCATTCTTGAACACGGAGTTTGAGGCCAACCTGGGGTACATGAGGCCATGTTTGCTTTGTTTAATCATCATGAGGAATGAATGAAACCAGTGTTCCTCAAGGGTTTGGTATGGTCCTGAGCACATGGTACTTGCTCAGTAAGTAAAAGCAATTCTAATAGTAGTCATGAAGGTACCTGCTGGCCTTCATGACTCACTGAAGGTACAACTGTTGTGCCTTGATTTCCTTGGAGGAGTTCTCAGTGGATCAGTTCTCCGAGTGCAGGGTTCCTGCCCTACCTGCACGCCATCAGTGCCTCTCTTGTGATACTTGTATTTGTTATGTTATATGAAGATCCCCAGTTATACTATAAATTTCTGGAGGGAAGAATTGGTACCCGATTCATTTTCCTCTTATTGATGTTGCCACATATCTTGTCCGTGGTAGCTATTCAATAAATACAGATCTTCTCCATGGGTGAATGCTTGAAAATACATGTTCCATTGTTTCCTATTTCAGGAACCTTACTTAGATGCTTGTCAAAAACGGCCTAACTGCTGCTGTACCAAGTTAAAGGGACAAAACTCAGCAGAGTGCCACAGCCGGCACGTTGGTGTCAGACCTGCTTGTTGGGTTGGATGGGCCCTCCAGCGATGCCTAGCAGAAGCGAATAAGCACAAGAGGCCCCTTGAGAAGCAGTTTGACTGGCCCAGCTAGACCGAGGGCCAAATTCTAGATCATAGATTTCAGCTAAACAAGTGAGTAATGCTGGTGACTCATAGAAAGGGGAGAACCCGAACTGATTTCATAATTATTGGAGCAAGAAAAGGATCAGGGCAAATGGTACGGAATTGCCGTTTGTGTGGAACAATTTTAGTCTTCCCAAATAATTCGACCCCTTAACAGTTATATTAAATCTTTGAACATCTTGGTACCACATTCTGCTAAGACACAAATTCTCCCAAGGTCTGACATGCTCTGAAGAAGAATGCCGCATGGACTTTTCTTCATGTTCCTTATTCTGAATTACTGATTTCACATCTGTCAGCGGCTATCCCTATATAGTGAACTGTCATTTTAGAAGCTCAGCTAAGTGCCAGGCATAATTTGTACCTGTAGGGGCATCTGACGCCTCCAGGGAGAATGAAGGCTGTGGTGTCCCTGGCCAGAATGTATATTCTGTCTCCCTCTCCCCTTGACCTGCTCACCTCTTCATCCTGAGATCTCCAAGATGCCACCTTCTCTGCAAAGACTTCCTCAAGAGCCCAACTTGACATGATAGCTCCTATCATGCTACTTAGAAACCATCTTTCTTATCTCCACCAAGCCCTGAACTTCTTGGACAACCCGAGAGTTCATGGGAGAGGAGAGGAATTGTTTCCTTTCATTTTACTTTTAGCCCTTAGTGATGATCAAAATCCTTGTACTGATACTTAGAGGGAAGAAAAAAATAGGAAAATGGTAAGTACCTCAGAAAAGTAGTTTGGTACAGCAAGGAAAATCACTGTGCTTCTGAAAATGTTGTCCCCGGGAAGGATGAGTCTTAATAGCTGTTCTGACTCTGTCTAATCTGGGAGGAGGGGCACACACCGCCATGTGTGCAGAGGGAAGAGGGTAACACGAGGGTCCTTACTTATCAACCTAGAGGCTTTATTGGAAAAACAAGGGGGTTGGGTTGTTAGGGTTGTTGTCTCCCTCAGAGGTTCTGAGAGCTTCTTCAGGCATAATCCCCAGACCCCGGGGCCAGTGACTAGTCCTTGACCCTTCTCCCAAGACCAGAGAATCACACTGTACATTGCTTACAAGGTAAGGTTACCTATTAACTTTTATTCTCGGCCACGGGGCTGAAGTCTTTCCCAGGTCGTAATTCCCAGGATTCCATAACTGTCCTGGAACAGCGGGATGAATGCCACTGAGAGCGGGGCGAGGATGTTGTTGTGGGGATGCGGTCGATTGCAGTTAATACGTTCCGTCATCTGTGTGGGACTCTCCACACCTTCCTTCCTCGCCTCCTCCTCAGGGACTCACTCGCTGAGATATTTTCGTTTGGCTGTTTCGGATCCTGTCCCTGGAGTCCCCGAGTTTATCTCTGTTGGCTATGTGGACTCACACCCGATCACTACCTACGACAGCGTCACCCAACAGAAGGAGCCGAGGGCTCCGTGGATGGCGGAGAACCTGGTGCCTGATCACTGGGAGAGGTACACGCAGCTGCTGAGGGGCTGGCAGCAGACATTCACAGTGGAGCTGAGGCACCTGCAGAGGCACTACAACCACTCGGGTGAGACGGCAGCAGACGTGAGCGCGCGCCCTCACTGGCTAGTCCTCAGAGGAAAGGCCCTGGGCTGCCTATGGCCAGTGTCACCAGTAGATCCTCTGTAGCCTTTGGCAGTGCTTAGAAAATCATGATGATGGAGCTCTGTTCCCACCGTCTCCCCTATGTCTCTTCCAGACTCTTCTGTGAAAACCCTTGATCCCTCATCCCCATATTCTTATTGCGTTGGTGTCTAACAGTCTTTCTTCTCTTTTCTCCTTCTAAATTTGCCCATCTTGGGGCTCATTTTTCTGATGGCCAGGCTTTCTGATTTGCTTATTTCTGCGTAGAAACTTACTATATTTAATTGTCCCAGAGATATTTCTGCATATCTCTTGCTCCTACGCTGCACTCAGAATAGCATTTCATATTTCATAAATATGAAATTTATCAATGAATCACTCCAAAGATGGGATCATTTCCCCTTGGCAGGTATCATCGTGATTCTTTGGCATGCAGTAGGTAACCCCACTGATGTCTGTTAGCAGGTGGGTCTATAAAACAGGAACCTTCTGGAACCCAAATATACAGGCCTATGTGGCGGTGCCTTCTAAGAGTGCTTCCGGCCACGCTGCAGTTGCATCTCTCGAGAATGCACCTGTCTCTGTGTTCACCCATAGATCGTGTGTGTTCCAGGGCTTCACACTTACCAGAGAATGATTGGCTGTGAGCTGCTGGAAGACGGCAGCACCACAGGGTTTCTTCAATATGCGTACGACGGACGAGATTTCCTCAGCTTCAGTAAAGACACCCTGTCTTGGGTGGCTGTCGATAACGTAGCTCATATCACCAAGCGGGCATGGGAGGCCAATCTGCATGAGTTGCAGTACCAAAAGAACTGGTTGGAGGAAGAATGCATCGCCTGGCTGAAGCGGTTCTTGGAGTATGGAAGAGACACCCTAGAAAGAACAGGTAAAGAGGAGAGGAAGCACCTTGTTCCTACATCCCTAGAAAAACTGGCTTCTGTCTCACTTCTTCTTCTGCAGGTGATAGTCACCCTGTGCTGAAATCTGTCTCTTGCTTGGACTGCTCTGACCTGTAACCCCCCAAGAGAACTCTCATTAGTTATATTTTTAGCAGCACCTTGACAAGCCTTAGCGTTCCACTTGTCTTGACAGAATGTAGTGCCTCCAAGGGCACCTTTATCAAGAAAAGTTCTCCCGTCTCCTGTCAGTGAGAGGCTGGAGAAAGCTTTCAGAAGTGGATCAGTTGTTGCAGATTATTTAAGAAGCAAGGGTTCACACAGTCCCGGTGTGAGTGAAAAGCTGGCTTTATGAAGAAGAGCCTTGGGAAGATGGGTTTTTCCTTACTGGGGATTAACAATGCAATTCATCTGGGTTCAGAGTTTATCTTCTGCCATAAATGCATGATCCCACTGGTCAACTTCAGCAGAATGCAGAAGTTTCATGTTTGATCGACGATGAGTCAAAATGTTTCAGGAAATCCCTGAGCACTATAGATCTTTTCCCATGAGAGCAATGTCCAGTCTGGGGGACTTTCCAGAGCTGTGGCAAGCCCAGGATGAAGAGGACTATGTTTATAAACATGTGTTTCTCTGCTGGGTGGTATCGGCACAGGCCTTAATTCCCAGCACTTGGAAGGTAGAAGCTAGTGAATCTCTATGAGTTTGAGGTCAATCTGGTCTACAGAGTGAGTTTCAGGACATCCAGGGCTAACAGAGAGACCCTGTCTCAAAAACAAAACAAAACAAACAAACAAACAAACAAAATAAGCATGTGCCATCTGTCCAAAAATACAGGCTTTGGAGGCAGACGATTAGAGGCTGATGTTGGCTGTCCTGTCTGTACTAGCAGAATAACTGTTGTAGGCTCAGTGGTTGCAGTTAACAAACCTATTTCAAACAGGCTCAAGCAGATCCTATTCGAAAGCAAGAGTCAGAGCAGCACAGGGACCTAAGAAATTAAAACCAATATTTGAATGCTGTTCTGCACGGTGGTGGTGGGGTAGCTGAAGCTAGGAGCATGAACCTCACACCCTCATGGCTTCTCCATCCCACAAGATAGGCTACTGTCTCTGAGTACTTGTGCCTAAATCACAAGAGAACCGTGACTGGCCTGTATCATATGTGGCCTCTTTAGCTAATCACTGAGACCATCAGAAAAAGCTTCAGAGATTAACAGCGGGTGGCAGAGTTCTGGCAAGAACGAATGGCACACACAGCCACAAAGGTTTAATCTAGGAGATTCAACCCAGGCCCCTTTACAAGAGGGCTAGCGAGGATCCCAGTAAGAGGTGGAGAAGTGTCTGAAGAAGTACAATATGGACACATCGTTGCTGAAGCATGGTCTGAAGGGCAGGAAGAGGAGACATGGCAGGCAGAGCCCTGCGAGAGTTGGTGTGCTGAAAGGGGATCTTCACAGTGAGAGGTGTGACTATGGAGGAATGTGGCCGCCTCCAGGACTGCAGCGGTGTTAAGACTGGTACTTCGTCAGCTCACCGCTCTCTGGCTGAGGCTGTCCAGCTGGAAACCAGGGGCAGAGAAGTTCTAGAGCTATGATGTAAAGGCCTAGACAGATCACAGAGGGTCAGAGACTGGATGAGAGGTGCTTAGAGAAGCGGATTAAGATGAGCACTTCATAAGGAGCTGGAGTAATGTTTGGCAGAGGAAGGAGCCTCTCAGGTCAGGAAGCTTCTGGAATGTAGGCCAACAAGCCATGGTACCGAGTAAAAGAACGTAGCCATGCCTACTTCACAGAAAATAGTGAAGATAATATAGAAAAAAATGCTTGCTAAGCCTTAGGACTCTATTTACGTCTTGAATCTTATCGTCGCCTGACTGAAGTGTGTATGGTAGCCTCGGATCTAGCTTAAATTCAGTGGCGCATCTTGGCCACCCTTAATCACTAAGATGTTTTAGGCTGAGTCTCAGCAGATAGGAAAAAAGGGAAAAATAGGAGATTACTTTCTGATTTGGGTACACTTGCCATATGGTTGTGTTGGTGATTTTTTTTTTCCTCACTACGACAAAATGCCTGAAACAACTGACCAAAAAGGAGGAAAGACTGTTGACAATTTCAGAGGTTTGGGTCCATCCCGGTGGGAAGGGTGTGTGAAACAGTTTACATCACAGTGCACAGGAAGCAGAGAGAGGGAGGGTCCAGGGACAAGATTTAGCCTCCCCGGGATTCCCCACAGCAACATACTTCCTTTAGCTGGACCCCACCTCCTAGAGTTTCCAGAACCTCCCAAAATAACACCAATGTCTAGAGAGCACAGGTTTAACACATGAGCCTGGGAGGGACAGTTTAGATTCAAAGCATTTGCCCCAAGTCACCTGGCCTGCTGCTCACCCTGAATTACAGTATTGGGCAAAGGTAGATAGGAAAACTCAAGCAGGGCTCCTAAGAATTGAGATTTAGACCTTACTAGCTAATTCTGTTGATTCTGCCTGGTATGGAAGTTCTTGGGATGAACTAGGAAAAACCTGGGTTGTGTGGAAAGTTTGACTTAAGTGTACATAGTTCTCATTCCTTATCTTGAATGTCACAGTGGTGTCAACCTCTTGGTCAAAACCCAAGTCTTGGGAGGTAGATTCATTTCTTGCAGGCATAGTAAAACAAACGAACAAACAAACTTCTTGGCAATGTTTTATTTTGAGTGTTGGAAAGTCTTTTCCTACAACTAAATTCCATGCCTCAAGTAAAAGACAAGGAAGGTATGTCTGAGGTGAAGGCTCTTCCCTGCACCCACACTGTCAAACAAATAAAGGTGGAGATGAGGAGGGAAGTGTCTCGGACAAGGAGGACATCCTATCCTCTGGATAGGATGCTTGATTTCAATTTGGCTTTATGACCAGTTTCATATGGAAAAGAAACATATTAAGTCAGGAGGAAGCAAGATCACCAATGGCTAACCCTAGGCTGGGGCACAGTGGTACATACCTGTAATATTGGCATTCAGAGGTCGGAGGACTGCAAGTTCAAGACTACCCTGGGGGCATAGAGATGATGTCTCCTCCCACTCTCCTTCCCTCATCAGTGTTAGGGCCCTTCTATAGTGTTAATTTCTGTAACTTCTATGAGGGCACATGAAGTATGACATCTGTTTGTATCTGGTTACAACCATCAGAATACCAATCTGATAGCATGAGGCACTCCAGAGACCCCGTTGACCTGAGATGGCTGTGGGTTTTGGTTGTCACTAAATGCAGAATTGAGATCTATTGCATTCTAATCTTCAGTCTCTTGGTGAATTACTTATCAAGAACAACACTTACCCATGCTGTGACTTACTTTTGCTTGACACATAAGGGTATTTCAAAGGTGAACGGCAAACCACTTCAAAACACTTTCCAAATCCTTGCTGCTGTATGCCTTTCCTCCCCTTAGAGGACCAAACATGACTCAGCTCCGTGTGTTGCCTTGCCTAGTCCATAATAGGAAGTCCACAAAATCCAAGTTTGTTGTCCATAAATCTGGGTTCTGGTTCATTCTCGGTTTTAGATAGTTCTTGCTGGGAATATAACTGGGAAGCCTGGCTATATGTTTGAACACTGTATGCTCAGTACTCAAGTCTCTCCCTCTTAACTATAGCTGCTTCTCTCTAGAGACCCCAGTGGTAAGAACAAGTCGAAAGGAAACATTTCCAGGGGTCACAACTCTCTTCTGCAGAGCTCATGGCTTCTACCCACCAGAAATTTCCATGACATGGATGAAAAATGGGGAAGACATTGCCCAAGAAGTGGATTCTGGAGGCGTGCTTCCCAGTGGGGATGGAACCTATCAAATGTGGGTGTCGGTTGATCTGGATCCTCAGAGCAAAGACATCTATTCTTGTCATGTGGAGCACTGTGGCCTCCAAATGGTTCTTGAGGCCCCTCAGGGTAAGTTTGGGGGTGATGGCTGTCTGGAGAGTGAAACTGAGGAAAGAGGTAGGAAGCTGTGAGACCTACATTGGAGGGAGGGAGAAAGGCTGGGTTACTAGAGGCTTCACTAGGTGTGCGATACAATGGCAGCAGCTTTGTTTGTTTGTGGGGTAGGGTTTCTCTGTGTAGCCCTGGCAATCCTGGAACTTGTTTTGTATACCACGCTGGCCTCAATCTCACAGAGGTCTGCCTGCCTCTGCCCATACTCCTCCACCCCACCCCGAGTAATGGGATTAAAGGCATACACTACTATGCCTGGCTTCAATTTTTATTTTTAATTTTTACAAGTTTTATTTATTTTATGTGTATGTTTTTTTGCTTGCATGTGTGGCTGTGAACTATATGTGGACAGTGTCCACAATGACCACAAGAGGAGCACCGAGTCCCCTGGACCTAGAGTGACAGATGATTGTTAGCTACTGTGTGTGCTGGGAATCAAATCTAGGACCCCTGGAAGAGCAGCCTGTGCTCTTAACCACTGAGCCATCTTTCCAGTCTCAAGATTTATTTTATTACTTTTATTCATGGGTGTATATATGTGTGTCTGTGTGGGAGTATGTGCCTATGAATGCAGGTGGCAAAGGAGTTTAGAAGAGGGCATCAGATCCCTTGGAGCTGGAGTTACAGATGATTGTGAACTATCCCAAGTAGGTGCCAGAAACTGAACTCAGGTCTCTGTAAGAGCAGCAAATCCTCTTAACGGCTGAGCTATCTCTCTAGCTCCAAAATGGTTCTTTTTAATTAGTGTTTCTCACAGAGTTTGGTTCCCATACTCTTCTATACTCTTATGAATTACATGTTGCTGTATTACATTTTTAAAAATAGCCAGGCAGTGGTGGCACACGCCTTTAATCCCAGCACTTAAAGGCAGAAGCAGGTGACTCTCTAAGTTTGAGAGTCTACAGAATGAGCTACACAGAGAAACCCTGTCTCAAAAAACAAGGTAGATAGATGGATGGATGGATGGATAGATAGATAGATAGATAGATAGATAGATAGATAGATAGATAGATAGACAGACAGACAGACAGACAGCCTTGGGGGGGGGAGTAGTCGAAAGAGGCAGGTTGATCTCTGAGTTTGAGGCCAGCCAGATCTACAAAGTGAGTTTCAGGGAGCTGGGGCTACATGGTGAAACTGTGTATCAGGAAAAAAAACAAACAAGCAAACAAATAGGAGAAATCATAAGCCTATGTTCTACTTGCCATCAGACAATGAGTGAGGAGTGATGATGGCCGAGTTTCCTAGTGGCCACAGCGACACCATCAATGCAGACGGGAGAAGCAACTTGGAGGGTTTTCTCTTTTACTTACAGAATCAGCAAACGTCCTTCTAGTGGTACTCACAGCCTCTGGGACCATAATCCTCACCACTGTCCTGGCTGGAGTTGGTGTTCTGACCTGGAGAAGGTGGGCATGGGGTGAGAGGCGTGAAGGTCTCCAGGGGGCTGCTGCTGCTGCTGTCTCCTTGCTGCAGTCCTGAGACTTCTGTTTCCTGAGACTGCCACTTGAGTTCCATTTAGAAGCAGGCTGACCCTCAGGTTGGAATCACAGGAGGGCCTGGAACAACTTTCCCTCTCTATAGAGAAAACACCCATTAATTGGGAAAAATTAATTTCCCATTTTCACATTCTTCTATCCCATATGAAAGTCCTCTTCTTGCGAAATTTCGTTTCTCAAAACATGAACTGTTCAAAAGCAGATAACCTTTCAAAAATAGGACTCAAGATAAGGAAAATAGGAAGGGGAAGCAAGAAGTACACTTTTGATGATATAGATAACTAAACATGTACTAAATATCTGTTGTAAATAATATTACAACAAATGTCTGTTGTAAATATTTAATAAATAATCTATTTATTAAACATGTATAAAATGTCTGTTGATCTTTAAGCACCATACTGGCTCATGGGAAACAGCAATGAAAAAGACAGGGAAGATCCCATGTCATAAAACTGATGGCACAGTCTTGAAAGGACATTTTCTATCTCTGGTTTACTGGTTACTCAAGCCGATGACAACAAATATCAATGAAACCTGGATCAGGGCTCATAAGCCAGGTAGGCTGGAGCTTGCTTTTTCTTGAGCGTTGTTGACTTGAACACAATCCAAGGGATACTGTGCAAATGCAGTAGTAGGTACTAGTCACACCAGTCCACTTGCTAGAAAATCAACTCAGCTAGAGGGTCGATTTCCATTATAAACGGAGCACAATATGAATCCTAAACCATTTGATACATGCATCACAAAAAGAAAGTACCTGCTTTTTAATCTCCTGGAGTTTGTAAATTTGGAGTTAAAACTTGTCAAGTTCTAAGAGAATCTTGAAAAAGCAGGCTAAAACTGTCACTGGCGGCTTCTAGATTTTGCTGACTATTGAATAATTTTTGAGCCATGAGGAAACACACAGAACTAACTAAACACTTCTTTTCCTTTCGGGACAAAAATAAAAAAATCTACCAACCCACACAATGAGTACAGCTTTCCCTCTAAGGAGCCACCATCTCTGCTCTCAGGAACCCATACATCTCTACCATACTCCCCCTCGACATCACGTGAGGGTTCCCCCATTGACTAAGAACTTTGAGTATCATGGCTATCATGACTGAGAATCTATAAGTAGGGTCCGACCAACCCATGAAAACAGCCAGCAAGTTTCTACAACAGCCTTTGAATGGACTAGTCACTCCACACATATCACAGCCAAAAAGGAAACAGAAGTTCCCTGTTCACAGTGGCTCTGCCAGATAGCTTGGGAATATATTGGAAGTATGTCTGGCTAGATCTATGGCAATGGCTTCCTTCACTTTTACTGCTTCTGTGAGAAATTAGAACAATAATTTATCAATCTGAGTGTGATGGGTCTCCTATAAAACCAGTACTCAGGAAGCTGAGGCAGGTGGATTGTAAGTTTGGGGCTAGCTTGAGCTACACAATGGAACCCTACTTAAGACAAACCAAAACAACAAAACTCTCAGCAGAACCAGAACAGCAATTACCAGCCATACTATCACCTCCAGTGGAACTGCGGAGACCCCGACTCACTTGCAATATTTGAACGTGAAAATAATGGCATTTAGCTGGGGATGGCCCAGTGCATGAAGATGCCCGCTGCCAAGTTTGGCCACGTGAGGTCAGTCACCAGGACTCACACAGTGAGAGACCTGACTCCCGAGAGTTGTCCTCTGTCCTCTGCACGAGCGCCATGGCACAAAATACAATAAATAAATAAATGTAAAAGAATCTTATAAAACATGATTCTAGCTTATGCCTCAGAAGGAGGCCTCCCGCTTTGATGCTGGAGACTGAACTAGTACAGAAAAGACAGGAGTTAGAATTGAACCTTTGGGGGCTTAGGGTGTAGCTCAGTGGGAAGAGAGCTTGCTTAACATGTGTGAGGCCCTGGGCTCAGTCTTCAGCCCTACAAACTGAAGGGCACACATACATACACACAAACACCACCACCACCAATAACACCACCAACAACTGAACAAACAAAAACTAAAACTTTGGATCTTTTTTCCGCGAGTGGTTTAAAATTATATTGCTTCTTAATACTGTTAGAACTGTCATTTAATTAATCCACATTTACTGGTTACAGATGTTCGGTAACCAGGGTCTATGAACACGCAGAGAACTGCACTACCGCTCCGATTGCGCTTCGGCTTTGAGGTTTTCTTGCTAATAGTTTAGCTCAAGAACACTACGTGAAGAACCTGTTTGACTGGTTTTATTTTAAACTCTACTACGTTTGTTATTTGTTTTCTCTTTAGCATGTACAGACCAAGGTTTTGTCGATAAAATGGCAAATGGCACAGGTAAGGAGGGAGCACTGTGTGGGCTGGGCAAGACGCTCATGTTGCTAGACTTAGTTAGCATCTGGAAGCCCTAGGTTCGGTTTCTAGGGCAACATAAAACTGTGCATGACAAAACAAAACAACAACAACAAAAACAAAAACAAAAAAAAAACAATAAAATAAAAGCAGTACGGTGACAGGTTCCTTGATGCTTCTCGTCTTGTTTCAACAATTTCCGTGTTCAATTATCTCTGAGGAATTGCTGATTTTTTTTTTTTCTGTTCTATTTTTGGATGGAGAGTGCTTTTTTCTTTGTGTCATGAGGTCCATTAGTTGGTTCTTTCCTGGCAGGCTGGCACCTGGTATTTTGGTCACCCTGGTCTGAGGCTTTGTCCTCAATATGTGCAGGTCAAGTGTCCCCGTGAGGGAATCAGGTGGATGCATAAAGAGGAATGCCAAATGCCAATGCATTCACTTACTGTCAGGAGCACAGCTGCCAAATGGGTCAGGGACTAGTTTCAACTGGGCAGCGCATCTTCTGGTGGGAGGGTTCACATGAGAACAGGCCAATCACAGGAAGGAGTTTGCCGACACCAGACTTGGGGGCACAGAAACATATTCTTTTGCCTCCTACTTTTTCATAACAATATATTGATTCACATAAGGGATTTGTTTCAAGCCTTAAGCAGTGGACAGCAAAGCCAGAAAGGAACATGGGTTGTCTGTCTTCAACTTGGATCTTTTTCACTCCCTTGACCATATTGCTATCCTTAGATGATGACCACCGTTGACCCTTCCAAAGCACCTCTCCTCAGACCGCCCTCATTTAACCTCTAACTCTCTGTAAAATATCCCCATCTCCCTTTTACTCTCTTCACTATCCTTCTAGCTTGTAATTATCCCAAAGGCAATGTAACAATGTAACAAATCCCCAAACCTAGTTGTGTAAAACAGCAATCATTTCAGTATCTTTCATAGCTTCTATGGGTCAGGAATTTGGGTAGAAATTGTGTAGGCAATGCTGGCTTCATGAAACTGTGGAGAGTGGGTGCCTAAAAGTAAACAATGAAGAACTAGAGAAACTGTGGTACAATGTAGGTGCCTGTCTCCAATCCAATTTCTCCTCTTCCCCCAGGGGACACCTCTATGCTGGCTCTCTGTGTAGATTAATTTGGGCTTCCTCACAACACGGTGACTTTGGAGTGATCAGATTCTGTAGGTGGTAGCCAACTCCTCTCACCTGGTATCACTTTTGCCATACTCTTAGTTGGCCAAGAAAGTCACTAAAGCTTGCTCAGTTTCAAGGAGAAGCAACATAGACCCTGACACTCAGGAGAAAGGTTGTCAAAGTAATACAATTGTGAAGAGCACATATAGATAGGAGGGCCTGTTTGCCTAACAGAGTTAGCTATAGGAAGCCTTAGGCTAGCCAGGTGTAGTGGCCCATGCCTGTAAACCCAGTGCTCAGGGAGGCAGAGGCAGGAAGATCTCTGTGAATTCAAGGCCAGCCTGGTCTACAAAGTAAGTCCAGGACAGCCCAGGCTGCACAGAGAAAACCTGTCTTGAAAAAACAAACAAACAAAAAGCCTGTCTATCTTTGCCTTTCAGCATCTAATGGAGGGGTAATGGTGATGCCTTTCAATGGGTTAAAAGAACTGGGTTCTTAGGTACTGTGGGTATAAGGTTTGTGGGAGGAGCAAAGGTACCCTGTACCAAGGGAACATCTTCTCACAGCTGGCAGGGCTGAGGGAAAAATGCAGCCACATCCATACATGAGCAGCTTCTCATGTAGAGGGAGAAGCTGTCTGTACATGCCACTAAAAGTTGGTTGTAGATCTTATCTGATTAAAGCATGAAACTTTGACCTGTTTTTAAGTTTCTGTCTTGTGAATCAGCAGAGCCACAGCTGACCTATAATGGACAATTGTGTCCAAGGCACTGTCCGAATGTCTTAGTTAGGGTTTCTATTGCTATGATGAAACACTGTGACTGAAAACAACTTGGGAAGGAAATAAACTTGGGTTTATTTGGCTGACACTTTCACATTGTAGTCCATCACAGAAGAAAGTCAGGACAGGAGCTCAGACAGGGCAGGAACCTGGAAGGAGGAACTGATGCAGAGGCCACCGAGGGATGCTGCTTCCTGACTTGCTCCTCATGGCTTGCTCAGCCTGCTTTCTTAGAGAATCTAGGACCACCGGCCCAGGCATGGCCCCTGCCACAATGCACTGGGCCCTCCCGCATCAATCACTAATTAAGAAAATGTCCCACAGCAGGATCTCATGGAGGCATTTCCTCAGTTGAGGTTCTCTCTCTTTAGATGATTCTAGCCTGGGTCCATTGACATAAAATTAGCCAGACCAGGCCACATGACTTAGCTAGTAGAATACAGAGTGAACTTTGACCCCATATGTCCTTTTGGTGGGGGATCCCTTGTTCAGGCTGCACTTTACCCAGCAACTCACCATACCATTAGAAAACAAACAGACTCAACACGGAAGTAATTGGATTTATTTGAAAGGGAGGAGTGATGGAATAAAAAGGTCAGTCTTCCCAGTAGGAGAGAGGTGGATGCCCTGCTTAGTTCAGCCAGTTAAAATTATCCCCATCATTTTACATAATCACAGTGTTTATTTGTAACGGTCTATTTTTAAAATCTTTATATAACATTTCACGGTCGGCTTCCATGATGCCTTGTATGTAGTAAAAACTCAGTAAATACTTCTTGGATGACTCAGTACATTATTTTAATTAGCTAGTCTTCATGTACTGGGGCAAAAGAACAGTGTCATCTTACTGCTGAAGTCATAGAGGAGAAATGCCACTCCAGGTGCCTAGGGTGAAGAGTCCAGAGCTTTGCCTGGATTCTTAATGATTTTCAGCAGCATCAATGTTTTTGAAAATTATGTTTGTTAGTTTTTAATCCAAGTGGGGGAGGGGATGGGGCACATGCGTGCCGTGGTACACGTATGGAGAGCTAAAGCCAACTTACGGCAGTTGGTTTGATCGACTGTTTAGAACAAACTCA